TATTAATTTTGTGCTTCCTTTTTTAAAACCATCAGCTGTTCAAGAACGGGATTGACTTTTTTTTTTTTGTTCAGAAGGCCATTTATGCGTTTTAAGTATTTGAAATCAAAATTAGTCCAACAGTAACCAGATGGTTGTGTCCAATATGATTAGGAAGAGTTTTTAAATTAACAGGATCAGCTGTGTATTCAGAAAACTGAGGGTATGGAGGTCATAAATCTTCAGTTCTTAGTGTTGCCAAGTGCATGGGCTGATCCTGAGCGGTACTGAACTACTCTTGCTTGCCTTGAAACCAGGGTCTAGAAGCAGAGGGAGTCTTGAATGATCAGCACTTCCCAGGATCAGTTCTTAATTTTCCACTCTTCTTGTTCATACTTCACGTGCAATTGATAAAGGTTTTTGAATTTGGACATTAGACATGCTGTTGCACTGAAATATATACTTTTTTATTTTAAATTGTGGTCCCCATTTCCCTGTTTGATCTCTCTGTACACAAGGTATATGCTGTATAAGTGGCCTTCTTGAACAAATCTCTGCAAACTGATTTCATCCCAGCGAAGGAGTGTATCAGCAACACTGTACATTAATTTCAGGTTTTCATTTTCTTATTTTATTTTGTAAATATATCTGATACTTGGAGCTTGAGTATACAAAATGTAAATATAGTTCATGTATTTGTACTAATTCTGATCCATTTGCTGTATAGCCTTAGGTGTGCAATGCAGATATCTAACTGTGTATGGTAACCTTGCACCACTGAATTGTTAGTGAACGAGGTGAAACAATAAAGGTACAACCAGTGCATTAGCAGATATAATGTGTGTTCTTTTTATTTTGATTTAATTACTTGTATCTTATACTGATTATTTGTTTTCAAAACCTGTCCTGAAGAAATTTGTCTCGGCTGTTCTGAAAAGAGGGCTCTTCTTACCATTCCTCATCCTTTTCCCTTTGATATATTATGCAGCATTTCTAAGTAGTTTTTGGATGCTTCCAAAAGACTCTTTTGCTTGAAAGATAAAATCAGGGTGTCATAATGCTGCTGGTACTGAACTTGCTTATCTGGGGATGACCGTTAAAAATGACAGGAAGCGTGTGAAATCAAACCACCAAAACATAACAGGAAAGTATAAGGCACCCGCCCTGCAGACAGAGATGTGTCAGGGAATCCCTGTGAATCATTCTTGTATTTTGAAAGTGATGGTGAGGAAACTGGACAGGGCATTCCCAAAACATTCAAGCCCTACAGAAATGGGCCGTCACTTGCTGTTAAACTCCTGTCAGAACTGGGAAACAGCTGCATGATGGCAAAATACCTTTATCAGGCTGCTGGCGAGATCTTATTCTTTATCTGAAAAGCTATCTTGCTGTTGTTGCTGAGTCCTTCCCCCCC